CTTCCTCCGCCCCTTATCACCCCCCCCCGTCACCCGTCCCCGCCCTCCCCCCCTTTGCAGGTGTCCCCCCGTCCCTTCTACACGCCCATGTCGCTGACCCCACCCGTGCTGGCGGTGGACGGGGGCTGTCCGCCCGAGCTGGAGGGCCAGGCGCTGCTGCTGGGGCTGGTGAACGCGTCTCTGAGAAGCAGGCGAGCTGGAGGGGCGGGCGATGGACTTCTATTCCGACGATGATGTTGTTTCTGGGCTCGGGAGTCAACGAGAGCACGTTGAGCTGCACGTGGCCATATTCATATACGTCACCAAATTCAAATCCAGATAGAACGGGGGAGTTGCAGTTGCAGTTTTTGCCTGTTGTTTGTTGTTTGGGGGGGGAGGGGAAGTTGCCGGGACGTGTCCTTCCTGTTCACTTCAGTCCTTCCTTCCAGGTGTATTACCCGTCCGCCCTCCCGTACAGCACATCTACGCGCGCGCACCCCTCACCTCATACACACACACACTCACGTACACGTACACGTAACCCCCACCTTCCCTCCCCCCACCGCCCTCTCACTACCTTTACCTACATGTACGACAGGTTGGAGGTGGCCGAGGCTGGGGGGCAGGTGGAGGCGGCCTCCGACCTCAACCACCTGTTGCTGCGGGGCCAGGCGGAGCAGGATAAGGCCCTGCTGAAGGCCTTTCAGCGGCTGGTGCGGGGGGAGCGGCACGCCAGGGCGTTGGAGCTGGCGGCCCAGCTCAACCTGTTTAAGAGCGTGGAGGGTGAGGGGGGTGAGGGAGGGAGGGGATGAGGGAGGGGGAGGGGGGGTAGGAGGGGGGGGGGAAGGAGGGGGGGGGAAGGAGGGGGGGGGAAGGAGGGAGGGAAATTAGGGTTCGCGGGACGAGTGGTGTAGCTTCAGTCGGTCCCGGTATTGGAACTTGTACGGTAAGGTACGGGATTGGAGCTGTTTCTCTTTCCGTACATTTGGCGGGACGGGTACTGAAGGGAGGGGTCGTGCCGCGTATGGACGTTAGTTGTGTGAGCTTGGTTGTAGTCCAATAGCTGATCCGAATTCAAGAACATCGTAAGTAATTGATGAACACACCCTCCCCACCCCTGCCCAACCACACACTAAACACACACACACACCGCCCACTCGCAGGCGCTCTGACGTTGGCCAACCACCATCAGGTATGTACGGGAAGGAGACCGTTAGGGGACCGTTTACTCGTTACTTACACAACTCGGAGCGGTGCCTCATTAGTAAAACTTCAACTAACAACTAACAACTACCTAACCAACCACCTCCATCCACAGGCTCGCGGCCTAGCGGAACGCATCAGCGCCTTCATGGCTTCACGACAAGCCTTGTTGGAGGCGGCAGCGCCGTCATCGCTGCAGGGAGGCGCCGTACAGGGCGCTGCCGACCAGTACGGCAACCACCATCAACACCGATCGTATACGCCGATCCCCTACGGCAAAAGGTGTGTTTGTGTGTGTGTGGGGGGGG